TAATATAAACAGAGAAATAAATATATAAAAATACTATAGATAAATAACATATAAATAAAAGAATAAAAAGAATAAAAATAATTAAATATGATTCATCAAATAATCTATTTCATTAATATTTCATACTGAATACAATTGATAATAAAATATAAACATAAATATTTACATATTCTGTATTTATCATACTTTTTATTTATTTTTATTTTTATTTTAGGAGCAAAATATAATAAATGGAAAATTCTATGGATGCAAATTTTTTTGCATCTTTTTTCTTTTTTGTAAATTATTTAGATGCATTTTTTCTTTGCTTATTTTAATGACAGAAATATTATATTATTGTTATTATATATCAAGTTAAGAGTGTAGAATTGTTTTATATTTCAAAATTATTTAGAATTTTCACTTTATTATTGTCATTATTATACATTGAAACATTAATAAGAATATTTATATTAAAAATACAAAGAGACATTCTTAAACTCATAAGAATATTAATCAATAAAAACATGAAATAATTAATGTTATACAATATTAAATCATATAATATAATAGAAAACAACATAAATTCACAAAACAACAAACAAATAAAAAATAGAAACAACATGAAGAAAAAAGAAATAAACACTTCTTAATAAACCTAACAAGAAAATAGAAATATATCTATTATTTGACACTTTTACACTCTCTTACTTCTGTTTATTTGTTTATTTTGTTTGTACAAACACTTATTTCTTGCTGTATTTCTTCTACTAATTTATTACTATTTATTCTATAACTTATTTATTTACTATTTTCCTGTTCATATTCACTTTATTCCATTTTGACTGTTTATTTATTGTCCTTTTTAATTCCTTTTACATCTTTTTTACTTCTTATTTATCAATATAAATGAATAAAATAGTTAATACTTCATCTTTTAATTTGTATTATTAAATTTCATCTTAGTTGATAGTATCTTTGTTGGTACTTTTCATTTATTTTCTGTGTTATGCTTGTCTCTTATTTCTTGTGTTACATCGTATTATTTCAGTATTGAAAGTTATATTTTTATTATCACCCAGTTGTTTTCTATTCTACTTTTAATTTCTGTATATTTCTCTTTCCTTCATTTTCAAAGTCAAGAGTTGTTAAAATGAATAATAACAGAGAGTATAGTTAATGATTAACATTCTTAACAAAATTGAATCAAATATTCACATACTCTTATCAAACCAGTGCAACTATTAAAAAAAAAACAAAGAAAATAAAATCCAAAAGCTAAAGGAAAGAATGAACTTTAATAAGAAAAAAGAAAAATCAAATAGTATTAAAAATTGTTGAATTACTTCTATTCTAATAACCAAATTGAAAAACAGAATAATTTTTTTAATTATCAAAATATCCTAGTTGTTTCATAATAGCATATTGTTCTGGAATTTCATTCATTGCTGCACATGCAAATGCAACGTCTGGATTCTCTACATGTCCTTCACAGACTTTATAATAATTAACAAAATTGAAATTATCAAATTTAGCATTCTTAACAACATCATCAAAATTCTCCATTACACCAAATGGTCCATCTCCAACACCAACACAAATAATAGAAATTGGATATTTTGAAGCTTCTTCAATAGCCTTTCTATTCACATCAACGTCACTAACTTGTCCATCACAGATAATAACAAGAATATGATATTGTTTTGTTTCTTTAACAATTTCTATAGCTTTTTTAATTAATGGAGCAAATGAAGTTGGACCTGACAATGTAAGAGAAGGAACAGTTTTTTTATATTGTTCAATTGCAGCAGCCATTCCTAAAAATGGTTTATTTTCAGGACTTAAATCAAAAACAGCTTTTCCTTGAGTTCTTTTATCACCAAATCCAAAAACTGGAATAAGTCCATCATCATCATATGGTGCAAGTGCTCTTCCCATAATATCCATTACTCTCATATAAGGATTAGGATTTGATGGATCAATAGTATGCATATTTCTTCCATACGTTTTTTTTCCTGATGAAGCATTAGAACCAGTAAAATCAATTCCAACAATTAAATTGGATGATTCTAATCCAGCTTTAGTAAGTGCTGTTTGAAGGTCTTCAAGAGTTTCATATGTAGTCATAATTGGATCAGTTAATCTTTTTTGAGGAGTTGCTTGTTCGTTTCCCATGAATGAAGTATTTTAAGATTTTAGTAAAACTCAAAAAGAGATATAACAATACGTTTTTTTTTTTTTTTTACTTTTTCACAAATGAGGAATATATCTTTTTCAGAAAGAGTTTTTTAAGAAAATTTCATTGAATTTTTATTTTTTTTATTTTTATTTTTATTTTTTTTATTTTTTTATTTTTTTACTTAACTTTTATTATAATAAAAAGTTAAAGAAAAATAACGAAATTAAAAAATTGTTATTTCATGTCTTGTGACAGAGTAAAACAAATAATTACGCTCTTTCAACAACAATCTCCAGTTCAAGCTGCTGAAACTGTTTTTAGAAGTATTCTTACAAATGAAACAGATCCAGCATGTCTCCCAATAATGACAACAATGACAGCATTATATAGTGCTATTCAAAATATTGATGTTAATAAATATGAAAGTAAAGAATTAACACGATATGTATATAAATTAGTATCAGTGAATTGTCGTTTGTTATTAAAATACAATGAAATAAAAGAATCAAATAATAAAGTATTAAATACTTATTAATTTAATAGAAACTATTAAAGCAGCAATTATTTACAAAGAACCACAACTTCTTAAATATGAAGAACCTCTATTAATTGGAGTTTTAGATAATGTAGCGAAAATGGTTGGACCAAAACATTATGCATTATTTCTTCAAAAAAATAAAGAAAAAGACAATGAATTTATTATTCATCAAAAGAAATTTGCACAATTAAATTTAAGAGAATTACTTCAAATTTCACCTAATCATTTTCCTTTTACAAATACTTATGACCAAGCAATGACTCTCTTAAATATGATTGAAAAATCAACAAATGCTTCTTCAATGTTAAATAGACTTGTAGATGTTCAACAAGAAATTAATCATTCATTAGAAATAGTTTATGGAGAAGTACCTACTTCTTTTGATGCAGATGCATTATTATCAATACTTCAATTTTTATTAATTCGTTCTAAAATTCAACATCCATTTTCAATTATTAAATTTATTGAATCTCATTTCACAAGTAAAGATTATTCTACTCAATATGGTTTTTCTTTAACTACTTTTACAATAGCAGCAGAAAGTATTTTACAAATTACTGGAAATGCTGATCCTCGTTCTACAGTTTTAAATGATAGTCCATTATTAAATACTAAAATTACTTCTTGTTTGTTATTTATTATTTCTATTTTATTTCTATTAAATAAGTAATTTATATATTTATATATTATAGTTACTCCTTCTCCTAAACTTTCATTACCACTTCACTTTATGGTTGCAAGTGGTATGGTTGATAGTCAAATGGTAATGAAATATTTTTAATTTAAAACATTTTCTTAAAATTCATTTGAATAAATTAAATTAAAATTACTCAAAAGAAAATAGCACCCATAACAACTGATGATAATGGAATAAAAACATTATCATAATTTGGATAACAATAAAATTCAACTATTGCTCCTACAAATCCTCCTACTATTGATTCAATAATATAAAAATTATTAAAAAGCATCCAACACATAAACATTGCTCCAAGTGATCCACATACCATTACTGCAATTGCTCCTTCAAGTGTTTTTGTTTTTCCCCATGGATTTTTAAGTTGAGTTTTTCCTATCATTTTACCAATTATTTCAGCCATTCCATCACCAGTTAACATAACCATCATTCCAATTATAGATGGTGGATAATTTCTCCAATATAAAAGAGATAAAAATGACATAATACAACAATAATTTAATGGTCCATATAACATTTCTTTATAATCACCATTTCTACATACTGTTGCTATTAAAAAATCAGCAATAACTCCTTTAATCCATCCCATTCCAAATATTAAAAATACTATTGCATATAAAATACAACACATAGATCCCCAAATTCTTGCTGTTGGTTCTTCTGGATAATATTTCCATAATAATAATTGGAAAAATCCAAGAGAAATATGAACACATTTTCTAGAAGTATAACTAGTTATAATATTTGTCTTACTTAATATTGTAGCAATAATAAGACAGACATTAACTGCAATAAGAGAAGTAAAGAAGAGAGTTATACTTGACATAAGTAAATGTATTTTAATGATTATTTAGTCTCTTTAGATTCTCTCAAATACACTTCCCACGTATTCAAACAATTATTAAAAACCCTTCTTCAATTAAAACAAAATAATCAAGTTAGTTTATAAATTAATACATTCATATAACAGATTGTAATAGTTAAATGAAAAAGATACTTTTGATAATTTTTTCAAATAATCCAAAAATACAAAACCATTTTTATACTAACCAAAACCATTTTTATACTTACCAAAACCATTTTTCCAAAAATGAAGAAAAAAAGGAAAAAAAAAAAATGAAAAAAAGAAAAGAAACAATCAAACCAATTACATCTTTTTTTTTTTTTTTTACTTTATTTTCACTTTTCACAAACAATCATTTTTCAAAAGTATCTTGAAGAAGATTTGTTAAGTGTCTGAAAGTAGCAATATTTTTTTCTTTAAATTTTTCAATAAAAGAAAGTACTAAAGGAGTATTTTTTTGATTATCAAGTAATGATAATACTTTTAATTGAGAATATTGTAAATTTAATTCAAAAAATGAATTTTGAGCAATTAAGTCATGAATATTGTGATAAATAAAAACACTGATATAATAAACTGAATTTTTATCTTCAAAAGTAAAATCATAAATATGGTGTACATTCTCTTTATTTAAAGTTGAACAACAAAAACTAATTAATGGTTCCATATAACTTAAATGAGATAATAACATTTGTTTTTTAGACATAAATGATATTAAATGTTTTGCATGAATTAAATTACCACTATTAAATGGATCACTAAATCTAATATTAAAATATGTTGTTAAAATATCAATTCTTGGTGTTTGAAATAATTCTGCATTTGTTATATTACCAATTGAAAGAGTTAATGGAATTTTAATAAATAAATCAGCTCTAAAATAAAATCTATGATTTCTTTCTTCAATATCTTTAGAAAGTAATGATGGTGAAACATAATCAATAATTATTATAAGATGAATTAAGTTAAGTAGTAATTTTAAATATTTTTCTATTTCATTAATAGTGAATTTTTTAGGAATTAAATTTAATGTTGTTAGTATTACATC